TAACGATGCCATATTCCCTATGAGCTTCATCCACCTTTGTGACTGCAGCTTCCATAAGCCAATCATCCCTCCCCATGCATCCTCCTCTAGGTCTCCTTGTTTTATTTGTTTCAACACAGCTTGAAAGTCGGTGAAAATTTCGGTGGGTCTTATAGACCAAATATGGGATCCGATTTTGGGCTCCCAAACCCTCCGTGCGTCGCATTGTCCCCCTCCCCGATCCCCAGAAGCACTCTGCAGACAAGAAATTGGTGAAAACGGGATGCACAGAGGGTTCAGGAGGCCAAAAATGGGCCTGTTTTTGGTGAAAACGGGATGCACAGAGGGTTCAGGAGGCCAAAAATGGGCCTGTTTTTGGTGAAAACGGGATGCACAGAGGGTTCAGGAGGCCAAAAATGGGCCTGTTTTTGGTGAAAACGGGATGTACGGAGGGTTCAGGAGGCCAGAAATGGGCCTGTTTTTGGTGAAAACGGGATGCACGGACGGTTCAGGAGGCCAAAAATGGGCCTGTTTTTGGTGAAAACGGGATGCACGGAGGGTTCAGGAGGCCAAAAATGGGCCTGTTTTTGGCCTGCAGAGTGCTTCTGGGGGCTGGGGAGGGCGACAACGCGATGCGCGATGGCCCAAAACCATTTTTTTCCTTGTTTTCCTCCTGTAAATTTAGGTGCATCTTGTAGTCCGAAAAATACGGTAGTTGACTATGCAGTCTGCTCTTGGAGAGCGAGCGGTTTGAAACCGGTCATGATTTCCCAGTGAATATAATATCATTCAGTTCATCCCGTATTCTGTTTCAACCCCCTGCTAGAAGATGCGCCTCTATAAAATTCACAGCAGACAAAAATTCTCCCTTCCATCTCCCAAGTAATTGCTGGGTACGCCAAATTTTTCAGAAATGGGGTTCAGCAGGTTTTTAAAATTAAGACCTTGATCTTCTGTGGCTTCAGGAAGGCCAGGCGTGTCCACTTAATAGGAAACATCCAGTCGGCATAGTTTGGATCAAAAAAGGTTGAGTTGCTTTTTTCCAGAAAATCCTCGGTAGCTTGAATGCGTTTTTTTAAAAAAAAATATATATATAATCAGACATACCGCCTGCAGTTGTTACCATCCAGGGAGAAACGGAGGTTTGCATTTGAGCGTAAAATCTGCAGGAACTTCTAACCTCTAAGGGTTGAGCTTATCTTTAAACCTTCCAGCATTGTTTCTTTCCTTTTATCTATTTCACACCCTATAATGCATTATGTAAAAAAAAAAATAACGAAAAACAAGCCAATCTGTCTAGGAGGTCATGGTGAGCATTTGCTTATTTGGTTGAGTTTTTAATTACAGCTGCCTTGACTCTTTGATTGGGGAGGCCTTATAAAGCTAATAAATAACAGCAAATTTGATTGGCAGAAATATTGATTGCTCATTTTCTTCCTCTTCTAGGTAAAGAGGATGAATTTCCAAAGAAGTTGGGGAAAACGCCAGCCGACAGTCAACCAGCCATGCTGAATCTCACGCATCTCGTCAATGGACAAAAAACCAACAGTGTAGCGAAGGAGGCCCCGGCAAGCCAGAGGGCTGGAGAAGGCCGTCGAGAAGGTTCACCAAGGAGATACGGAGAAGGAGGCCAAGAAAGCTCACCTACGGCACGGATAAAGAGAGACAGGGAAGGCTCACCGACACCACGGGGAGAGAGAGGCCGAGAAAGCTCGCCGAACCGCCAAAGACGAAAAAATTCTCTGGAAAAGAGGCAGATTTTGAGACATCAGCAAAAGCCGGTAACACCAAACGCACAAAGTGGGTTGCCAAAGCATGATGGGGAGACCCCCGGAAGAAAGCCTGAAGCGCAAACAGAGGCTGAGCCCAAGCAGAAACACAACGCAACTGCGAACCAAAACTCCAACGCAGTGTTAACTACGGGGAAAGAGTTTGTCCCCAGGTGGATTAAACCTTCCGACGTTAAGATAATCGAAAAAACCACCAAAATCACCATGGAGTTTAAGACCAGATTGCCAAAGCAGGGCTGGACAGGACCAGCCCCTGCTCCGGAAGACGAAGCTCAGAGATTCAACCCCAAGCAAAAAACGAGGGTTTGGGACGTGGATGAAAGTAAGCGGGGGTCGAATGCCTCGCAGTACGACAACGTTCCCGAAGCCGATCTGGAGAACGGAAGCTCTGTGGAGCAGGCCCCGGAAAGAGTTGTTCTGCAGAATCCAAGGAGCACCATTTTCTCCAGCGGCTCCAGAAAAGAGATCGAGAAAGGATCTAGTCCACCAAAAATATCCAACAGTTATGCCTTCAGCTCTGGACCAAGGGTCCCCAGATACTCCTCCCAATCTGACGCATCGGTGGTTGGATCTCACACGAGACAGCCACCCCCAACGTATAATAATCCACCTGTTTACCAAGGGTATTCTCCAAAGCACACAACCAAAGATGGTAACTTCACAGCCACGCAGTACAATCACGGGACTCGGACCAGCTCCGCCACTCAGTTGTATGTTCCCGATTTTCCACCGGAGACGGAAACTCATCAAATGCTCTCTGAGAGGCCACCTAGAAATTACTCTGCCCTCCACCAGAATCTTGTTGTGACGCCTTCGAGTCGGGTAGAGGTTCTCCCCGACGAGGTCTTCCCAAGCAGCCCCAGAGGCCACCGCCCCGCAATCCCTGTAGTAGATTATCTGCCAGATCATAAAAAATGGGCGGATCCCCCTTTAGCGTACAGACCAGGAGCCTACGGACAACCCTGGGGCGGAGACGGTGGCCGAAGTCACTTCGGTCACTTGAAGAGACACCCAGCGTTTCAGCCTAAGCCTCTTGAAGACCACAACTTTCCCACCCTTTCCGTGGACAGGCCTCTGAGATACAGGACAGCCTCAGGGGAACTCGGGCCCCCCTCCTACCAGTATCCGAGTTCCCCTGGTCCCGACCGTCATTACAGGCACCAAGCAGATGGGTTGTCTATGAACGAATCAGTGCTGCTTTGAAACAATATATATATAAATATATATATATATATATATATAAATCACATCCGCTCACCTAAAAGGCCTGGAAAAGAACGTGCTTTGGGTCGAGAGTGATCTAAGATTAGTATTCTCTACACAGGACAGTTCAAACCGTCCTGCAGAAAAGCATAACACTATTTCCCAAGGTATTCGATTTTGGCCAAAGCCGACCCTGAGACATGGGCAGAGCAAAACGGATCTCATAAAATGTAGCAATATCTTCTTCCCCGTGGCTGTCCTGACAGTTGTTTGGTTCAGTCGCTTCCTTGGGGGAAACGACCCCAGTGGCCTCAAAAGTTTGCAAAGCCCCTCTCAGCCAGCTGCCTTTTTTCAGGGTGGGGGGGGGACCTGATGTTAGGACCCGGGCGACCCTTGGCTGGGGACAGATGCGGAGCCTAAAAAAAAACGGAGGCATGGATGTCCGGAGTCCACAAAGTACTTTCTATTTTAACTTTTTTAAAAAAATTGTTTTGCTTAATTTAATTTATATAAACG